GGGAAGCGGAGGCCTCCGTTAAAGCCAGCGGGTGAAAATGAACCCCGTGGGCCGGGGGTGGCCGCCGGGTGCCGGGGCCTGCCCGGCGGGAAGGCATTTCCATTTCCATGCCCCGTGACTAAGGGAGGCGCTTGGTTTCGCTGTGCTGAGTCGTTTTGTTTCTAGGCCGGGTGCAGCAGATAGGCACCCAGCGTTTGAGAGCAAAGTATTAGCGAAATGCTCAAAGAGATCCTGGTTTTCCTCAGTATGTGTGAATGGCACCTGTGGCAAGGAGCACAGAAAGGTGATGATGCACACCTCTCTTCCACAAGGGGCACCTGCAGGGTGGTAATAAAAGTGAAAGAAAAAAACCGTTTTGTATTATTCTCAGTGATGTAAGACATTGACTTTTTCACAGTTGAAAGCAGATTGGTACCTTAAAACTGCAACAGGATGCAGTTGTAACTGACTTCTTTTGTGCAATGCAACTGTTGGCAAAAAAATACATGATGTCTGTTCAGATGAAATGAAGTAAAGTTTTGTGTTTGGGTGGTTTTCTTAATACCTCTTTGCTATTTTTTTCTTTGTTTCAGGGTAACCAACCAAAGAAGTTATGAATATCATCTGTGGTCTGAAGTTGCCAGGCAGGAACTGTATTTTCTTTCATTTGGCTTCTTTGACCAAGCAGGGGAAGTGCAATAATCTCTATAGGTCTTACGCAGGATACTGCCGAACTCAAGTCAGTTCTACACAAGGTAGATGCCAAAGCCTGGATTTGAGTGGAAATACTAGAAACTGGTTTTTGACTGGAAGCCCTAACTCCTATAGAAACTTCATTGGTAAAGGACTGAGGTGTCTTTTGAATGTCCCAAATACAGAAGTATACAAGAACGCATACCACAGTTTGGGAAGGTTTTGCTTCCAGTCTTCTCGGCCGTTGGGGGAGAAGATCAGATCCCTCCAGATCAGTTCTGCAGAGCAGCTCCCATGTCATTTTTCTGCTTGGAACATTCAGATCATCAGGTCTTTTCACACATCACCATCGTTTCAGGCTGCACCAGTTCCTCTTTTCTGGATTATTGTTAAGCCAGCTCAGAAATTATTTGCTATCATTCTTGGCAGGTAAAATACTGTCCTACTTCCTCTCACAGTGTAAGACCCCATTGTGCAAAGATGCATGCATGAGTTTGTGGAGAATGGTAGGTGTATTTGTAGTGTTTTCATTTTTGTATCTGTGCAAAAGTTTGTAGGACTGGGGCCTAGACTGACGGTTTGCTCAACAAGAAGTTGTTTCTGTTATCAGAGGTGTTAGGTGTATCTCTTGCTCTTCTCATTCTCATTTACATGTGGTAGAGCGAGATGAGCTGGGAGACTTATGGGGCATTCCTTCTTCTCCTATGGGAAGGAAGAAATGGAGTGGAGTAGAAGCCAATTACAGTATAACCTATAAGGTTTTACATGAGATGAGACCGTAATAGAGAATACAGCAAGGGCAGACACTAACACATGCCTTTTTAACTATGTCCTAAGTTAAAACTGTTTGTATCTTACAGGAGCATAAGAAATTGGTGGAAGGCACTTCCTCCTAATAAACGGGAACTTCTTAAAGAAAGTGCAAGAAAAAATAAATGGAAGATACTCTTGAGTGTCAGTAGCTTAGGAGTTTTATTTGTCGTGTTTTATTTTACGCACTTGGAGGAGACACCCGTCACTGGGCGTGCTCGACTGCTAATGTTTGGAAAAGAGCATTTTAGGGAACTGTCACAGGTGGAATATGATATGGTAAGATTTTGAAGAAAAATTCAAAATACTCTAAAACTGTTAATGCTTTTTTTCTTAGCAATGAGATAGTCCAATTAATGAGATGGGCAAACAGACCTTGTGGTGTCCTTGATAAGTTTTGAACTTCATGCTCAGAATCTTGCAGAGTACCCCCATCAGTTACCCGCTCCCCTTGTCCCCCTCCTTTTTAAGAGGTCCCTTTCTATCAGGAAACCACTCAGGGACACATGATAGTTGAAGAACACATTACATGTATATAGCAAACATTTCTAACTGTATTATTGTAATATAACCAGAAATACAGAAATCTGGTAGAAGCAGTAAAAGCATAGCTAATAGGTATATGCCGAGATCTGTCTCATTTTCCTGTGCCGATGTGAGAATTCTTTGGCACTTGTTGAAGGTCTCCTCTTCTAAGCTGTCACTTTGTAAGGTAATACTCTCCACCTGCATTCAATTCTACTTTTTTTTTCCTTTGTTGGATCAGCTCATTTTTCTTTAATTACTTTCTTTCAAAGTATCCATTGCAGTAATTTCTGTAACTTTGAGTTCTGTGACTTTCTGTTCTAAAGCCAGTGAATCTTGATAATCCATATACCAATGTCACTGTATTCCTGTCTGACAGAGAATGTGAGATAAGAACAGAAAAAATACAAGGGTATATTCAAATTACATGTGTTTTATAAATTTGTCCACCTGACAAATTACAAAAGAAATACACAGATAATGGAAAAATTATAAATTTAGATGGAAATTCAGAAGGTATAGAAATGTTTGCCAAATTGTGATGCCAAACTTAACTCTGTATTAGGGAAATGCCAGATATGGGAAGCTGTAGGACCAAGTTTGTGCTACCTTATTTTTGATCTGCACTCAATTTACTCCCTTTAAATTTATTAATCCTTAACTTATGGATCTGAAAGCCTGAACTCTAATATTCTGGCTTTGACTATATGAAAGGAAAATGTAGTCTAAGTTTTAATAAGTTGTATGTAGCCACTAAACTAGCTTACCTGTTAGTCATTTACTGTGTATTTGTTCTGCATGGCAATCAATGGATTTTTTTTTTTTTCAGTGGATGGAGGAATTCAAAGGTAAAATGTTACCTGAGACAGATGCACGCTATCAGGTTGTGGAGAGAGTTGTTGGTCATTTATCTGAAAGCAATAAGGACATCCCACAGGTCTCAGCGCTCAAGTGGGTAATCCATGTTGTAGATGAACCAGGTGTAAATGCTTTTGTGCTTCCAGTAAGTTGAACCCAATACAAAAAATATTAGTAATACTGAAACAGCATTTTATTTATGTGTCTTCCACTTAATTTTCACTCTTTTTGTTTACAGAATGGTCAAGTGTTTGTTTTCACTGGTTTGCTAAATGCAGTTTCTGATATTCATCAGCTGTCTTTCATTTTGGGACATGAAATAGCTCATGCTGTGCTGGAACACGCAGTAAGTATTTAAAGAAAGTTGTCTAGAATTCTTAAATTAATTCTAATTACTTTAAGATTTTTCCTACCACTACCAACCAAAGTTTCAGTGTGACTCTAATGAAAAATTGAGTTTGAAATGAGAGTATGCTGCTACGGTATATCCTTATTACTCATGTAGTACTTAATAACTGTCAGAAGTCCTGTAGTAGTCAGTGTTAGCACAAAGTCTGCCAGTGTTTCTTTCATAGCTGTACAGATGGATTATGGCTCACTATTAACAGTCATTTAGAACTTGGTCTGCAGATGCCTCTCCTCCTATAGCACAGACATAAGGAACTAGAGGCACTCAGCAACTCAGTTTTTACTCCTACTCTTCTTAATATCTACAGAAGTGGATATACTTTAATAAATTTTTCTAAAATACATGATATTTTTATTATAGTAGCACACAGTTTTAGAATGCCAAATTCTAGAATGCCTGGAGCTTGATTCTTCCTTTACAGATGATTGCTTTCACAGACTTAATTTTTACATATCCTGACGTGGATGTGTTGAAATTGGTAGTTCTTTGCTATTTGAGCAGAATGGATGTAATAATTTTGTTGTGCTTTGTAGGTATAACTATGAAAAAAGAGGATGGTATAGAAATATGGTTCATATTGTTTGAGATTGAGGTGATTTGCTAGAGAGTGCTGCTTTACCTCCAAATTGATTTATTTCTGTGCATGTAATTTAAAAAAAATTGTATTCATTACCTATCCATCCATCAGTTTGAGAAGCTTATAAACATAAAGATCCTGCTAAAATTGCAAAGCTAATCTGGAAATGGATAAGTACATTTGAAAGGCAGTAGAAACACAGGAGATTTGCGTTATTGCATCTTGTGTGATTTTGGATGAGCAACAGTTCACATCATAGTTTCTTGGGCTCAGCTGAGCCAACTAACTTGTTAAACTCCTAAAAAAAATATTTCTAATAATAAAAAGAACTTACCTTGTTTATATGGAACGTGTATCACCCAACTGGCATAGAGAAAAGTATTACATGATCTGGCTTGTAAGTGTTCAGATCAATTTGTTGCATGTCAAATAGAGCTCTGAAAAACAGAAGAATTTCAGTTTCTTTCTTCAGGCTCTCTCAGTTTGTGAAATTAAAGGAATGGAACAGAAAATAAAAAGATAAATGTGTTATGCTTAGTGTCCCCTTGGCCCATTAGTGTTCCTGTCTAAGTGATGTCTATCTCTTCTGAAATCAATGTCAAGAACAGTCTTCTAATAGATTTTTTTGTTGTTGTTGTTCCAACTGAGGTGTTTCATGGCTTTTTTACTGAAGAACTCTGACTGCATGCTGCCCTCATCTTATCTCAAGCTTTGAATCTCTCGAATTGGGAGACAGCCAAAATGTATTTGTTCCAGCTGTATTTATGCAGTTGGTGTAGATTCTAGACTGAAAGTACCTTGTATCCAACAGGGTTTTTTGTGGAAGCTGGGGAGCTTGTGCTTGCCCTGTTTCCGTGGCTGCATAGAAAAAAAAAAAATCAATGATTTTTGAAAATGTTTCCAAATTCTGTTATGTTCTAAAGAAATGTCAGACAGTAAGGAATGAAAATGGGACTATTTCTGTTTGCAGGCAGAGAAAGCCAGCCTGGTTCACTTCTTGGATTTTCTATCACTCATCTTTCTCACTATGATTTGGGCCATCTGTCCTCGTGATAGTTTGGCAGTTGTTGGCCAGTGGATTCAGAGCAAGTTGCAGGAGGTAAGACTGACATTTTGTATTATCCTTCCTGAGTTCCATGGAAAAACATTTTTAATCTTGGGGAGATTGTTTTGTCTTGTGATTGATTTGTTTAATCTCTTTGGGGAGATTAATGTTTGGGGAAAAAGGCAGGAGGAGAAATATTATAAGCAAAATTAATATTTTGGGTATATTTTTGAATGAAATATGTTTTTATAAATCTGCATCTGCTTTAGTTGATATATATTTTCATTTGTCATCTTGAGGAACTTTAGATATCCTTAAATGACTGGATTTAGCTGGACAGGCTCCGAGTACCTGCTTGCCAATTAAGTTAGGTGATTGTCTTTTTGAAAGATAGCTCACCCTTTAAAGTTGTATATGTTAAAATGCCATGTTTTTATTTTGAGTAGTTGTTGAATTGTTTCCAAACCAAATAAAATGTATGGAATTCTTTAAATACAGTGTTAGTGGTAAGAATGGTTTCCAAGATAAGAAAATTGAGAAGCTAACCACTCTTTTAAAGTATAAACCATGGTGTAATAAAACTTACTGAAGTAATCTTTTCAGACAGCATATATTCCAGTAAAGTAAAATTCAGAGGCTTTGTGGTGCCAGTGTTCTTCAGCATTCTAATTTTCTCTCTGCCTCTGGACGGTTGCTGATCCATTTATTTTTAAAAAGTGGGGCTTTTTTAAAGGAAATTTTGCTTATATCAGAAAGCTTGAATCTGAATTTAAGTGGACGAGCTCTTTGGTTTTTTTCACTTCTCTTGATGCTTTTCCCGAGATTTCCCCTGGTTCCTCTAAAATATGAAATTAAACATAACCAATCTGTTTTGGTAGTTCTTATGCTAATGGGTAGATGTGTGGATTCTGAACATAAATTATCTCTAAAGAGCTTGGATAGTTGTACAAGTAGCTAAGAAACCAATACATTGGTGAATGGTAGCCAGCATTTTGAAGAGCTGAATTTGGAAAAAACAAAGTGTGAATCAATCCTGAGACTGCTCATAATTTAGACAGCAAGATTTAACTCCCCGTCAGCATCTTTTCTCCTCTTCTAGACTAACTGCAACTGGTATTTTGGCATCGTGGATTGGAGTTGTGCTTTAGGTTGCAAATGGAATATGAGTTTTAGCTCACAGTCCTAGTGTGCTATAGGAAAGATCTGTCATCTATGGGATATTGTACAGTGATGTCCTGATTTAAAACTCTGACCAAACTTATCTTCGGTAACATTAAACATATCCATATGTAATGCAGAATAAATAAGTGCTTAATACTCGTAAAGCTTTCATCCCATATACAAAAGATGCTGAATAGAAAATTTTGGTTTTGTTAGTCACCCAGGAGTCTGTTTCCTCCATTTAACGTTTGCCTATTGTGCTTATGTGAAAATGAATCTTTCTGCACATTTTCTCAGACTGTTTGTTCTCCTCTTCTTCCATAACTGTGTTTTACTTTTTACTTTTTAAAGTTTTAGCATCCCACTCTATAAAAGGGTTCTTTAAGCCACATTGCAGTACTTGCTTCTGTTTCAGTATTTGTTCTTCTTTTATGTCCTCAGAGGCTTAACTTTTTTACCTACTGACTTTTTTTTGTTTTGTTTTGTTATTGAATATAAGTACTTTCCAGTGACTCTTTGTAGGCCTTTTGGCATGTTGGCTCCAGTTCTGCTTTTTTTTCCAAAACTAATGGGTTTGCTTACCTTAAATTGTTAAGTTCTCTTATGTGATTCATTCGTCGTTGTTCTTTAGTCCTGTATTTCTGAACTGAAACGTGTTGGCTTTGTTTTTACAGCAGCAGTTATTTTGTATGGGAACTAAAGCCCAGGAATTATTCTTGGATCAGCACAAAGCATGACTCTGAATTTTACTCATGTCCTGCATGCTAGTATGTACAAATACAGTACTTCATATTCCCTTTCTTGTCCACCTCACACCATCACATTTGTATTTCATCTGGAAACTGGTGATTTTGGGTAGTCAGCTTACCTGGAACTTCCTTTTCTTTAACATACACAGTCAGCTCTGGTAATTGATTTGAAAAATCAAATTCGTTGACTTTATTATGTCCAATTTCTGACAAGGATTTTAGATCAGAGTTTGAAGATCTAATTTTTCATTCCAACACATTGAGAAAAGATTATTTTTTAAAAAAATCATTTTTCAGTAGCAGATGAGTAGTGTTGTATGTGAGATGCCTCAAGACCCTTTTACGTGACTACTGCTGAGACTTTATTGGCTAGAAGCACACTGTGAAAGAGAGCCCAAGCTCTCTCAAGAGATTCAGGTTATCTTGCAGTTTTAATTTTAGATCTGAAGAAGAAACACAGAGAATTCTCAAAAATTACAGAGGATATGTTTAAGTATCTTACATGTTAACAAAATTTTGATAAAGATCAGAATATAACAAATATAAGAAATCCAGAACCTCACTTGGTCAGAAGCTATATCTAACATAAGAATTGCTATATGGAATCACATCAGAGTATCTTTAGGCTTGTATCTTGTCTGTGTCTGGCCAGTAGCAGATACATAAAGGAAAAGTGAAGGAAGTAACAGCAAGGGTGATAGTTTCTTCAGATGCCATCCCTGCTTCTGCAGTCTGCAGCACGGGTAGGTCCTGAACTAGAGATTGCATTAGTGTTGTGTTTATTTTTAAAAACACAGCCACATTTTTTTGGGCACTATTGGGACAGACATACAGGTAAATAATACCCTAGTGCTTGACTGTAAATGCAAATAAAACTATTTAAGGTGTAAGAGTTTAAAGGCTGATCTTTTTATTACCATCTTCTTGCTGTCCCAGATCTCTTTCTAGATGATCTGTTAAGATGCATGCATTCAGACCATCAATTTCCTAGTTCTTAAACTTCTGCAAATCTTTTTTGAGACAGATGCTGCCTCTTCTTATTTAAAATTGTTATAAACCTCCCAGAGAAAAAAGCTGCAAGTGGTTGTAACTGAAGAAACAGAAAACTGCCTGCTTGTGTAAGCCTCTGTTCCAGTTAGCGCTTTGGGTAGTCCTGTTGCCTGTTACCAGTTTCATTTCCCTGTCTGAGAAGTGTTTAATAATTAAACAAATAGTTTGTCTGGCTAGCTGGGAAATGCTGCTTCAGGAATATATGACAGACTAGGCAGGGGTATCTCTGCTCCTTATATGAATATATGCACTCCAGTACACCCAGAGCCCTTTTAACGCAATAGAAATATATATTCCACTTCAAGTAATGACTATCATCAGAGAATTTTTACAATGTATCTGTAATTGCAGTGTTTAAGGTCTGTAAGGAAACTGAGAATTTAGAAGGTGACCTCATCTGTGCTTACTTATAAACCAGGGTATTTGGCTTTAAAAAAACTGTAGAGGATCAGCTTTGGTTGGCTTTTATTTTTGACCTAGTAAATAAAAAACTAACAGTACTACTTTAGAAAGAGGCAAAAAGCTACAGATACCTTTATGTACTCAACGGATTGGACCACTTCTTTGGTGCTCTTCGTTTCTAACTGGTTTTGTGCTGTGGTTTTGTGTGGGTGGTGGTGTGCTGTTTTTTTTTTTTGTTTTTTTTTTTTTTCTCCCTGTAAGGAGAACATTTTTATAACCAGATAAAGAATTGATAAAACCTTTGTCTCTTCACTAACCTTGCACATCCCCATTCTTTAGGGGTATTTCCTAATTGATGCTTAAACCAGAATGTTGTGACCTGTTCCTTATCTCTGCAGGAGCAGGCTGTTTTAACAAGACCTGATTTGCATTTACTATAACCTGATATACTATGGAAAAGATGCCCAAATCTATGTGAATTACATATGCCAGAACATCCTGGTATATGTGGCTAAATAACCATTTGAGAAAACTACCGCTGTCTCTTAGTGTATGTTAATACAATGTCGTACTCTAGAAAAATGGGAGAGGAGTTGGTCAGATTTATGTCTTCTAATTTGATTTTTCAAGGGCAATTTGTGACTTGTCTTGGGGGATAATCCTGACAAGAGTGACTTCTGCATGAAAATGTTTATAGCTACATTCCATACTGTGGGCTGATACTGTACAAAAGAGATTGTAGCAGGTTTAAAGACAGTTGTCATAAAAGATTCAGGGAACCGCTGGAGTTTTTTACATACAGTTGCTAGAACAAAAATCTTAATACCAGTAAGAGTGAAGTGAAAAAAATCTAGTTTAAAGTTGGCATTGACCCCTTAGTTGCTGTAAAATGCTGTGAGACTGGCTGATGAAAGGGGCCATGAAAATATGTATAATTTGAATTAATTTCCACGGAATGCAGGATCAGTGAATTACATGTAATGGAATTAAAGCTTGCATTGAGAAAACTGATACTGATCACATACAATGTGAACATGATAATTAAACACCATTTCTTATGAGAAGATTAGAAAAATAACTATAATGCTCTAGCTTTGTACACCTTCAAACCCAAGAACTAGAGCTTTGATGTGGTTCTTTGCAGTTCGTGTTTGACAGACCGTACAGCAGAACGTTGGAGGCTGAAGCTGATAAAGTGGGACTTCAGTTTGCAGCAAAGGTAACTACAGCTGGTTTGTTTTATTAGCAATTTACTAGACATTTTTCTGTTTCTGTTATAATCAGAGGGAGTTTCACACTTCATACAGAGGTAAACTGTGTGTGGAACGGTTCACAAATTTTTGAAGATAGGTGGATTAATGAAGTAGTGGGAAATAAAACAGTTTTGTAGAGAAAGAAAAAGTCATTCTGGCTAAATTTTATGTAAAGTTGTGCATTGTTAACTGCACAGTATACTTTCTATGCAATTTATTACTGTTAGAAGAAAGAGCTACTTATTTATAAAGAGAATGCCAAATAGTGAGCTTCCATGAGTAGGATATATTTAATTGTATGTAAATATATAAATTGCTCTTTAGATTTTTTTTGTTTCACTTAGTTTCTCTCTCTTGTGAGAAGTTCTGAGGAATGCTTTACTATATTATAGTGCACCTAAAGTATTCTGGTCTGTAATATCTGTTCTCATAACAATACAGTAAAATTTAAGAACTTTTGGATATTGTGATTATGTTTTCTGTGACTGCTGATAATTATGAAGTATATCAATATTGTTCTAATACTTAAAAATTTAGTCTAAATACAGCCATAAAAATAATGTGGCTTTGCTAAGGTAGGACAAAAATTTGGTCAGAAACTACTCAGCGTTTTTTTCTTAATTTGTTTCTTCAGTCACTTTTTTGTCCCTGTGGATTTTAATTCTAAGTTAAAGAAACTAAAACGACTCCTTCATTTCTAGCTAAGTGCAATAGAGCTAGATAAATGTCAGGTAACTATGAGAGCAGCACCATCTAGTGTTAATATTTCATAAGGAAAATTTCCTTTTCTTAATAATTATTAATATTTCTTCAAGGAAGAGTTTTTAAAATTAACTTTGATTCTGGGATTGAAACTGCATTTGTAGTTTAAAGTCATCTAAGAATAATACAATCCATGAAAAAAATGTAATTGCTGTTTGGGTGCTCACTGCTTTGCAATACCTAAGCAGCAGGGCCATACCAGAAAGAAGCAAGCAAAGTGGTATCTCAGCATTTTTCTGCTTGTGCAGATAATATTTTTATAATAATAATTAAGAAATAAATTCAAAGGGTGAAGGATCACTTCTGTATTTCTGGGAAAAAAAAAAAAATCATTGTCTTGCCTTCTGAGTACTTGTCTCTTTTTCTCTTAAACAAATGAAAATTAATGCAAGAAATCTTGTTCTTTTTTTAAAAGCAAACATAAAGGAGTCTGTTGGTGATATACAAATGCCATTCTTAAAAGTTAATCTTCCATGACTTTCTATGGTTAAATATATACTTCTATGGAGAGAGACAGGAATTCTGCAGAATTACTATTTTAATCTGTTGTGGATTACACAGATCACCCATGAAAAAGGCAGTGTAATCACTTCCAGACAAGCCTTTGCAGATCATTTTTAGAGATATTTAAGTATGAATTATTATCCCTTTATATTTTTGACTCTAAACTTCTTCCTGTAAATTTGCCTAAGTCTGTGGAGATGATTAATTTGTTCTTCTGCTGTACTGTGTCTGGCAAATATAACTTAGAATAAGCAGCTGAGTTTGATGGGTTTTTTTAAAGAACAAGTACATGCCAGAAATTGTGAATCTCTTTTTCTCCTGATTTGTCTAATTCAGGTGTAAGTTTTTTAAAATTGGTGGAATTACATAGATGTTAAAGGGAAAAAATCAAATGTGTATCTGGATAAGTTTTTACTGCATTTAGGTATTTTAGAACAGCCTTTTCCTGTCAGGTATGAGGAGGGCCATCTATGTAAACAGACTTTAGAGATTTAAAATTTAAGATGTCCTTTGTAACTCAATATTCATTAGAATGTGTATTGTACTACTTTAACAATATAATGGTATATACATTTCCTTTCTGTTTTCAGGCTTGTGTGGATGTAAGAGCAAGCAGTGTATTTTGGCAACAGATGGAATTAGCAGAAACCATTCAAGGGCAGCCCAAGTTACCAGAGTGGCTCTCCACACACCCTTCTCATGAAAATAGAGCTGAGCACTTAGACCGGCTTATCCCAGAGGTGAGCAGAGTTGAAGGAAGTGTGTCTTTTTCTCTTAGGAAGGTTGCCAGAATTAGTTTGGTATTGATTCACAATCTACTCTTTTAGCGTCGTGCTTATCTTTCTCTTTATCCTTACAGAAATTTTCTGTTACAAAGCTCTCAACCTTAAAGGTTTTATTAAATGAGGAAAAATTAAGATAACACAGGTAAAATGCACTTATATTTTGGGGATATTTTTTTTTTCTGTTCTGATTTCTGATCAAAATGTAATATTTTTGCTTTTGAATGGCCTTTCTGGTATAGATGTGGCAGTATCACAGGTCTCGTCCATTCTTTTTTGCCGTTTTGGAAGCCGGTTTTTAAGTTGGATCCCTAAACTGTCTTGACTTCTCTTGCTTTGGTAGCTAGCCCTAGACTGTCAAATAAAGAATGCTCCATCCTGTCCTGTCTCTCTCACTTACGTGGGATTGAATACACCTCAAATAACTGTGCCTCAGAAGAATGTCAGAAGATTTCTTAATAGCCCTAGTTATGATAGGTCTCTGTAGATTTTGCAGCCTGCTTTTTTCTTCATGTCTCTGTTCCGTCACATTAGGGAGCAAATTTTACCCCACTCCAAGGAACTTGAGCGAATTCACGCAATTGCCCATCAGTCTGCTGTCTTTTCTCTGTTCCTTCTTTCAGATTTCCTCTCAGAGGAATGCCAAGTGGATGGCTACTTGGGAATTCTCTTAATTGATATGCTACCTTAAGCTGGTAGGTTAGGGACAGAGAACTGATCCAAGTTTAGTAATCTTAGTTTGTTTACTATTTCTTTAAATAGTGGGGTTTTTAAGTACAGAAAAATAACATGGTTTGTTTTTTGCCTCGTATTTTTAAAATATAATGTTAAAGCACTTCAACACTGTTTTTCAGCAAGCTAAAATGTGTTTGCAAATCCCCTTCCTTATAACCAACTGGTAATCTCTACTTTTTTTTTCCTTTTTTTTAAAACTCTCGGTCACTGTAAGTCTTTCTCAATTCCAAACTGTAAAGACAGTTGAAGATTTATTGGCAGAGGGAGCACTAAAATGTTGAGGTGTTTGCTGATTTCAAAGGAGAAGAAAAAGATTTTTGTAAATCCTTTGATAAGAATAAACACAGTAAATACTCTAAATGATGGCATAAATCAAAATCAGCATTAGGGGTAGGAGATTAGAGACTGGCTAGACTGAATATTTTAATATACACAAATTCTGTACTTTGCAGAAAAAGGTTGTGAGACTACTTTCATGGATTTTCTAACACATTAGAGCAGCTGAATGGAAAATGATACTTGTTGTGGAGCCTCAGTTTTAGTTACATTGAACATAAAGAGTTCAGGATCCTTTATTTTCATACAGACTGGCTTATAAAGTGGTAATGAAATAAATTACTTCTCGTGTTCTACCACAGGACTGAACAAGTAAGTTAAATAACTGAGTGACTGTGTAGAACTGGTAGTCATTTTTGGTAGTTTTGTCTTATCTCTTTGCAGTTTAGCAGGTGGAGCAACTTTCATCTTTTCATAGCCGCTCTCACTTCCAAGAGCGGTGGAGGCTAGGAAATTTTCTTCCAAAAGATAATTGAGGAGGAGATGTTTTCTTTTGCCTTTTACCTTAAACATTCTTTGGAGTAGAGTGAGAAAGCAGGGGCCAAAGGCTTCCTGTTTTTAACAGAATTTCACTAGATAAGTGAGGTTGATACTACAAAAGTGGAATAAACATGAAAGGAAGTATGTAGAGGTGTTGTTGGAGACTTCTTGTCTGAAGCATTGACTCCCCTTCATCCGAGAGCTGCCTTCTTGAAGCTGGAGCTCAAGTATTTAAAGGGAATCCCAGGGCTTTGTTTTGTTCAGTATCAGCACCTTTTTGTTTCATTGTTCATGTATTTAAAGCTTTTTAGAACAGTATGTTTACCATATATTAATGACCAGTAGATATTCAGTGCCCAGGGGGAGAAACCAGATTTTGAAAACGGCCTTTTTGTCTCTGTGAAGAAACTGTACTTCTTAAGACTCAGTATCAGATCCATCGTGAGCATTGTTGTGTTTCATATGCTGATGGTTTTGAAGCTGAAATGGTTTTCAGGACGATACAATATTTATTGTTAGACCAGCTACTGTAGCTGGAGGAAATAGGGGCAAGTTTTGGACTTGTCAGGCCACACAGGTGTTTCTCTACAGACTTCTAAGCAGCTTCACAATAAGGTGCGACCATATAAAGTGAGAATTTTTCTTCAGGTAATGAAATGGCATGTCACAATGAGGTGACTTAACAGTCTCAGGAAATGTAAATTAAAGCAGGAA